ATCATCAAATTCGCTCAAGAAAAGCCAAACGTGTAGTGATTTTTAATGATAACAAGGAGAATACAAATCCTAATAAGGATAATGATACTTCAGATCAAAGAAACGAAGTGGCTTTGATACGCTATTCGCAACAGTCGGATTTTCGAAGAGGAATAATTAAAGGTTCTATGCGTGTTCAAAGACGTAAAATTGTTATTTGGAACTCTGTCAAGCAAATGTGCATTCTCCCTTTTTTTGGACAGGATAAAAAAATCTCCTCATTTTTCCTTTGATATATCTGTACTGATTAAACTTCTTTTTAGAAATTGGATAGGGAAGGGGGCCAAATTTGAAATTCTGGAGTATACAGATGAAGAAACAAAAAAGGAAGATAAAAAAGAAAAGAATAAAAAAGAGGAGAACAAAAGAAAGGAACAAGCGCGGATAGAGATAGCAGAAGCCTGGGATACCATTCCTTTTGCACAAGTAATAAGAGGTTCCATGTTAATAAGTCAATCTTTTTTTAGAAAATATATTCGTTTACTTGTATTAATAATAGGCAAAAATATTGTACGTATGATATTATTCCAATTTCCGGAATGGTCTGAGGATCTAGAGGGATGGAATAGAGAAATGCATATTAAATGTACCTATAATGGTGTTCAATTATCGGAAACAAAATTTCCGAAAAATTGGTTAACAGATGGTATTCAGATAAAAATCCTATTTCCTTTCTGTTTGAAACCTTGGCATAGATCGAAACGACGGCCCTCTCATAGAGATTTAATGAAAAAGAAAAAAAAAGATGATTTTTGTTTTTTAACAGTTTGGGGAATGGAAATGAACTTTCGTTTGGTTCTCCCAGAAAACAATCTTCTTTTTTTGAGCTCGCTGTTAAGGAGCTGGAAACAAAAATTATAAAATTCAAAAGGGCATATTTTCTAGCTCTAAAAGTTTTAAAGAGAAAAACAAAATTACTTCTAAGAGTTTCAAAAGAAACAAAAAAATGGATTATCGAAAGTTTTTTATTTCTAAAAAGACTAATAAAAGAACTTTCTAAGTTAAATCCAATTATATTATTTAGATTCAGAGAAGTATATAAATCGAATGAAACTAAAAATGAAAAAGATTCCATAATCAGCAATCAAATAATTCATGAATCCTTTAGTAAAATTAACTCTCCAAATTGGACAAATTCTTCACTGACAGAAAAAAAAGAAGGATATGTCTCATAGAACAAGTACAATCAGAAATCAAATAGAAAGAATTATAAAAGAAAAAAATAACCCCAACGCCAAGAATATATATAAGTCCTAATAAAAGAAATTGGAATACTAAAAGATTAGAATTGCCAAAAAACATTTGGCAAATATTAAAAAAAAGAAATGCCCGATTATTCTCTAAATTCAATTCTTTTATAAAAATTTTCGTTGAAAGAATATACATAGATATATTTTTATTTATCATTAATATTACCAGACTCAATACACTACTTTTTATTGAATCAATAAAAAAAATTATGGATAAATCCATTAATAAAGTAAATCAAGAAAGGATTAATAAAAAAAATCAAAATACAATTTACTTTATTTCGACTATAAAAAAATGAATTGATACTATTAACAATAAGACAAATTCATATATTTTTTGTGATTTATCCTACTTGTCGCAAGCATATGTATTTTACAAATTATCACAAACTAAAGTTAGTAACTTGTATAAATTAAGATCTTTTTTTCACTACCTCGGAACCTCTGTTTTTCTTAAAACTGAAATAAAACATTCGTTTGAAAAACAAGGAATAATTCAGAATGAATTAAGTCTTAAGAAACTTCCGAGTTATGGGATGGATCAATGGAAAGGTTGGTTAAAGGGACATTATCAATACGATTTACCCTCGATTAGATGGTCTAAATTAATATCAGAAAAATGGAGAAATAGAGTTAATCAACATCATATGGCTCAAAATCAAAATTTCAAATTGAATTCATATGAAAAGGGCCATTACAAAAAACAAAAGGATTCTGAAGTATATTCATTATTGAATCAAAAAGAGAATTTTCAAAAAAACTCTAGATATGATCTTTTAGCATATAAATATATTAATTATCAAAAAATGAGGGACCCGTCTATTTATGAATCACCCTTTCAAGTACAAGTAAATAAGAATCAAGATTTTTATTATAATTCTAACACATATAAACACAACCTTTTTGATATGTTGGAGAGTATCCCTATCAATCCTTATCTAGTAAAGGGTAATATTAGATATATGGAAAAAATACCGATAGAAAATATCTTGATTGGAAAATCATCAAATTTTTTCTTAGAAAAAGGGACGATATTGAATCCTGGGTCAAAATCGATACTAAGAGTAATCAAAATACTAAGATTGGTACTAACAATTATCAAATAATTGATAAAATTGATAAAAAAGGCCCTTTTTATCTTCTGCTTCCGCAAAATCCCAAAATAAACTCGCCAAGTCCAAAAAAACTTTTTTTGGATTGGATGGGAATGAATGAAGAAATATTAAATCGTCCCATCTCGAGTATGGAATTTTGGTTCTTTCCAGAATTCGTACTCCTTTATAATCTATATAAAATGAAACCGTGGGTTATACCAAGCAAAGTACTTCTTTTCAATTTGAATCTAAATGAAAATGTTATTAGTAACAATAAAAATGTCGATGGAAAGCAAAATACGGAATGTGTTATACCATCAAATAAACAAATAAAGAATAAAAATCAGAATAAAAAAGAAAAAGAAACCCCTGCGGACCAAGAAGATCTTAGATCAGATGCACAAAAACAGGGGAATCTTGGATCCGTTCCCCCAACAAAGACAAAGCAAGAAAAAGGTAATGAAGAGGATTATGCAGTATCAAAGATAAAAGCTGGTAAAAAGAAAAAGCAATACAAAAGTAAAACGGAAGCAGAACTGGATTTTTTCCTAAAACGTTATTTAGTTTTTCAATTGAGATGGGGCGATGCTTTGAATCAAAGAATGATCAATAATGTCAAAATATATTGTCTCCTGCTTCGACTGATAAATCCATGAAAAATTACTATATCTTCGATTTGAAGAAGAGAAATGAGTTTGGATATAATGCTGATTCAGAAGAATTTAAGTCTTACAGAATTGATCAAAAATGGAGTATTGGTTATCGAACCTGACCGCTTGTCTGTAAAAAATGATGGACAATTTATTATGTATCAAATCTTAGGTATTTTAGTAGTTCATAAGAGTAATCACCAAAATAATCAAGGATACCGAGAACAAACATACGTTGATAAGAATCGTTTTGATTTACTTGTTCCTGAAAATATTTTATCGACCAGGTGCCGTAGAGAGTTGAGAATCCTAATTTGTTTCACTTCAAAAAATAGGAATAGTGCTGATAAAAATTCAGTATTTTGTATCAAGAACAACTCTAGTCAACTTTTGGACAAAAGGAAAGATCTTGATAAAGATAAAAAAGAATTAATTAAATTAAAGTTTTTTCTTTGGCCTAATTATCAATTAGAAGATTTGGCTTGTATGAATCGCTATTGGTTTGATACCAATAACAGCAGTCGTTTCAGTATGTTAAGGATATATATGTATCCACGATTGAAAAGTCATTGATAGTACATTTTTCATATATCTGCTCGACCCTGTAGGGTGTATGAAAGGAAAGAGATTCACACATGACCTGTATACATCCCATTTTCATTTTTCATATAGATAATAAAACCAATAACGTATCAATTAGACCTAGAAATCAATTAACAGAATCTTATTCATTTTAGGTCTAAATTATGCCCCTTTCTGAATGGAAAAATGTATCACTTTTTTCTATTCCTATCTGAATCAAATTTAATTTAAAATGGAATTAATTAATGTAAATTAATAAAATTAGGAGTCCATAACGAAATTCAAATTATTATATATACCACATTAAAATAAATACCATTATTATTACTCATCGGTAAAAAAACATATCTGTAAAAATGGAGGGGTAGCAATCTTTTATGGTAAAAAATACACTCATTTCAGTCCAAGATCTCGGATCGAATCGGTATATCAATTCCTATATAAAATAAACATAGAAATCCAATCACTAGAATTTTTTTAGTAACTAATAAAATAGGGAGTTTGAGTATTGAAAAAAATTCTTTTTTGTTTTGTGGAAATTCGGGGGTAATATGTCACTATACATGAATATAATATGATGGAACCCCTCATCATTATAAATATCATGATAAAGAGTACTTTCTCCTATGTCGTGTCAAATTTGCATAAAAAAAAGAAATATTTGTTTTATTCATATTGAATATTTGACGATACATTCCGTACCTTGCTAAAAAATTGATCCTTGTTTACCAACCATACATTGTCTAACCAAATCAAATTCTCTCTCTATACGTTCCTCAAAAAATCCGATTCCTTCCCCCAACTAATGAAGAGATCTTGGCGGAATTGCCACATATGAAATTGAGCACAATTTTGCAAAGAAATAGCCTTTTATAACATATAGTACATAGATATTTCAACCTATAATTTTCAATTACGAAAAAGAATTAGACCCTACTTTATGATTCATGAATCATGAAAAGAGTTCTATTTTTCTAACTAAAATAAAAAAATAGAGGAAAAAAGAATCCACATGTCAAGTATTGGCTTGGGATCATGTCTTCTTAGGACTATTCTGGATGTACAATGCAATTTCGCTAGTAATATTCCATTTCAGTTGGAAAATGCAGTCAGACGTTTGGGGCAATATAAGTGATCAAGGGGTAGTAACTCATATTACGGGAGGAAACCAATTAAATTAACCCCTTGAATATGTCTTTTGAATATATATGAAGTATTAACATTCTTTTTGAACAAAAAAAGAGCAGAAATAAAAAAGATGAAGAAATAGAATCTAATTCTTTTAGATACCTTATCTAAAAAGTTCTACCCATCTGTAAAATAGATGGGGTATATCTCGCTGAAGTGGAAAATAATATGTATTTTTTATGATCTAAACTATAAATATGAATGTCGATTCATATATCTTTCGACCATTTCTGAGGAAGTTCATTTTGGTCTTCTTTGATGATATCCTGATATATAGTTGTAAGTGGAAGGAACATCTGCAGCATCTTATAACTGTGTTTGAACTATTGAGGAGTGATTCTCTGAAGGTTAAAAGGAGTAAGTACACCTTTGCTCAACAACAAGTCGATTACTTGGGGCATGTCATTAATGTTGAAGGAGTTCAGGTAGATCCTCAAAAAATCTCAGCAATCATGGCTTGACACATGTCTCAGACTGTTAAGGAGCTCAGGGGATTTTTGGGGACCACAGGGTACTACAGGAGCTTTATACAAGATTATGGGAAAATAGCAAGACCATTAACAGATTTGCTCAAGAAGAACCAGTTCCAGTGGCATGATGGGGCCACTAGAGCCTTCAAGGAATTACAGAAGGCTATGAGTAATCCTCCTATTTTGGCTTTACCAGATTTTACTTAGGAATTTATTGTGGAAACTGATGCATCTGGGAGTGGAATTGGAGCAATATTGATGCAAGGAAAGAAACCTTTGGCTTTTTTCAGCAAGTCATTGGGACCCATGCACCAAGCCTTTTCTGTGTATGAAAGGGAAATGTTGGCTATAGTTGGCTATAGTAACTGCAGTACTGAAATGGAGAGCCTATTTAGTAGGGAGACACTTCTTTATTAAAACAGATCACCAAAGTCTAAAGTACTTGATGGAGCAGCAGGTACATACTCATTTGCAGCAAAAGTGGATAGCAAATAGGTTCAGTATAAGAAGGGAAGGGACAATGTGGTTGCAGATGCTTTGTCTAGGAGACCCCAGGAGGGCAGTGTGGTGGCTACTATGGTTACCATAACTACCTCATTAATCAAGGACATATAACAAAGCTGGCAGCAAGATGTGCATATTCAGGAACTGATTCAGAAGGTTAGCACTAATGATCAGCATTACACAAACTATTCATTGCAACAAGGAATGCTAAGAAAGAAGGGCAAGCTAGTGGTTGCTAATGATGCAGCCTTGAAGGATAAATTGATTGCCTTATGGCATTCTGGTTCTCAAGTGGGACATTTTGGAGTGGAGGTGACTTACAGGAAGCTTAAACAGGTTCTGTACTGGAAATCTATGTTCAAGGATGTAGCTAGATACATAGCAGCTTGTGACATTTGCCAGAGACATAAAGCAGATAATGCAGCTTACAGGTGCCGAACCTGTGCAATAATAATAATAAAACCTAACTACCACCTAAAGCAGTCAATAATCAATTATAGTACTGGAGCAGGGACCCTAGATGTGCAATGGGTTACTTGATTCACCCTGTTCCCGAAGAATTTGCTTAATTCGATATACCAGAATTAATTATCTGACTAATTTTACTAACTAGTAGAAAGTGGCAAGCAAGGTCGTCACCTCAGGGACTGGGGAGAAATTTGATTCCTTTCGAGTCAAGATAAATGGCGGGTTTTAGGATTAAATGCTAATGAACTAAATAAATCAAATGCGAAAAATAATAAATTGACAGAAATAATTGGGGAAACTCTAGCCAATGGTACACTTCAGAAATGGTTCATGCACTGATCATCGATTCACAAATAATTCCAACATTTATTCATAGATTGGTTATAGTTGTCATACCAGCCTTTCCTTAATTTCTCGATAATTAAGGTACGACCGTTAACTATTTCTCTAACCCGGAAACAATCCTACGATCGAAACAATCCTAGGTACGACCGTAGGATTTAATTTCTAGATTGCATTAAAATTTAGAAAAGCCTAATCCTAACTAACAAACACGCTACGAGGGTTTGTTTAAGTTAGATCGTATGTTTTCCTGACATAAATCCAATTATGCCAGTTGCTACCGGTATAGAGATAATTGAATAATTACGGATCCAACTACCCCTAATTAACAAAATAGCCTACGTGAATAATTAAATATTGCGCACTATTCAATCATACACAAAAGCTATAACAATTAAAAGCGGAAAACATATAAATACCAATAAATGGAGGAAGCAGTTAAAATAAATTCGATCTCAACCAAATCTTCAGTTGTCCCCTTGACTAGAATTGGAGAGTTAGTTCTCCATTAATGGAGAACAAACCATGCGTGAGGAATTTGGGAAAAGTTGTCAATTTTTGCCCTTTCAATTGCGGTCAACCGAGGAAGAAGAGAATAAGGAATTTTTGTTGCTTTTACTCGTCTCCAACCCAAGACATACGAGAGAGTCTGATTGCTCTCTTCAATTTTGTCAGACAAAAGTAAAAAGCAAGAGCCAATAGTCAACAATGGCGGCTTCCTTCTTGGTTTTCTTCTAATTGCCTTTCACAAAGCATATAAGAGAGTTTTCTCTTGCTTCTTCAATTCGGTCAACCTAAAAGGAAAAAGCAATTCCACCGGTCAACAATGGTAGCCCTCTTGTTTTTTTCTCCCAAGTCTACCAAAGCCAAATTACAAAGTCAAAATCCAAAACTAAAAAAAGTACAATAATCCTCTATGTTTTTTAGCCACTAAAAAGGATGAAGGCCATCCTCTCTCTTTTCGGCCAGGCCCACCAGAGAAAAACAAACGGATCCCAATCCTGATTTTTCTCCTCTAAAATTAGTACCCGAGTACCAATCTTCCTAAACAATAGGAATCCTATTACAAATAGCTTTCTTCAGCTTGGGAGTGACCCCACTACTTTCCAAAGTTGTAGTCCGTTGCCTCGCTCAATATTCTGGAGCTTCCCATGTGCGACTGAGTATGGGTTTTTGGGTTGGGGTTAGGCGCGGGCAAGCCTAAATGTCAAGAAGTCCTGGAATGTTGATTTTTAGCACATTTTCTTCACCACTTCCTGCAAGTAACACCAACACAAAATCTCAGTAGAATCCACCCAACTAGTGCAATATTTAGTCAAAGAATTATGCAATACTACCCAAAATATCCCACTAAAATGCACCCTATCAACAGCTTACCCTGGGCTGCTACAACCATTACTTATTCCTTACAAAATTTGGACAGACATTTCCATGGATTTCATCGAGGTGTTGCCTTTATCACATGGCAGGAAGGTGATTTTGGTCGTTGTAGATAGGCTCAACAAGTATGCTCCGCAACTATGCTCAGCAAGTATAGCTCAACTGTTCATGGACCATATTTACAGGTTCCATGGTTTACCTCAGACCATTGTGAGTGATAGGGACTCTACATTTTTGAGTTCATTTTGGCCGGAGCTTTTTAGACTACATGAACATGTCTACTGCCTACCATCCTCAGAGTGATGGGCAAACAGAAGTTGTTAACAGGTGCTTGGAAAACTACCTTAGCTGCATGACTAGTGACCATCCCAAGGATTGGAATTTTGGTATAATACCAATTACCATTCTTCTGCTAAATCTACTCCCTACGAGATAGTGTATGGACAGTCTTCTCGTGTTAATATTCCCTACCTTCCTAAGACTAAAACTGTTGAATCTGTTGATAGGAGTTTGAAGGCACGAGAGCAGGTTATTCATTCCTTGCGGCACAATCTTACTAAGGCTCAGCATAGGATGAAGCAAATGGCTTATAAGCACCGATCAGAAAGGCAGTTCTGCGTAGGAGATTGGGTTTATGTTAAGTTGCAACCTTATCGACAACATTCACAAAAATCTCACTGTCGCGCCCCATTTTCTGTGAAAAAATAATAATTTTACGGGTTTTATAAAAAATGATTTTTTTTGATTATTTCTGAGTAAAAAATGAGTTTTTGATTTTTAGAAAATAAATAAAGAAAATGGGCCTAAAGGGGACTTTAAAAATGCGACAATTTTGGCCCAAAATAATAGTTTAAAAAGGGTTTTTAATGAAAAATAGGAGTCACCACTTGGTATTGAGTTGAGGTGTACTAAGTCACATAAAAATGAATTTTTAAATAAAAAGTAATGAAAAAACCCTTTTTAAACGACTCCAAGTCTTCGAAAATCAAGAGAAATGGGCTTGGGAGTCACGGTTGAAGAAAGGGAAGGCAAGGATAAAAATCCAAGGCACCATTTCAATCTAACCAAGGCTAGTTGCGTGATTTACTCAAAAATTTTCTTATTTTAATATAAAATTTATCATATTTGGATGTCATTATATGAATGCAAACCTAGATCTAATGTATATCGAAAGGGTCAATATGTCTCTTCAAATTTTAATTGGTGCAAATCGTATTAATTGCGACACCAAAAAGTGATTCCTTTGAAGAGGTCATGAATATGCGACAATGAGACTTGAAAAAAAGAAAAGAAAATAATAATTATACAAATATACATGATCTAAAGGGATGCATCATAACGGGTGCGCGAGGGGGGGGCCTAAAATTTGTGACTAGATCTTCCTTTTTATAGAGGAGATACAAGCGTGCTAAGGCTTAGAAGCCATACTCGTCCATATCCCATATTTAAAGGGTATTTCCTATCTAATCAAGCAAATAATCTAACCTAGTTCTAATTCTTAAATGAAATGCAAGTCTAATGTCATGTTTTCACACATAGGGGTAAGGGATATACATATAGGGAAAATATCATGCAAAATGATAAAAAATCCTAAAAAATAGAAAATATGCATGAAATGTAGTGATTTTGTCACACAAACATGATCTAACGCGTGAACGGTTCCTAAGGGTCTAGCATTGGACTAATCCATGTCTGTAAGTTCTCACCAGCGTAACAGCGTTGGACTAGTAAGAAATCGAAAAAAGGGCCACAACTAGCGTTGGACTAGTGTGGTGACGTCATGCACTTATTATAATCAAATAAATTATATAAAACATAATAAAAATAAATAAACACATAAATCACATATAGCACACAACACATAACCATGATATCTAGATGCAAAGACCCTAAGAAAGTGAATAAATATATAAACACACAAATATGCAAGCACGCAAGCAAATAAAAGCAAATAGAAATTTAACTATTACATTAGGGGGCCCTAACTACAATCAAAGGGGGAAAAATGAAATAAAATAAAATAATAACCTAACTATTACAACTTGGCATTTAAATGCCTCTCAAATAACCAAAATTAAATTAAAATAAATATACAAAATTAAAATAAATAAAGTGAATAAATAAATAAATGATATATTAAAAAATATTCAAAAAAGCATGCAATTACGCACATAAAATCACATAGGAGCACATAGGATCAAGTACAATCATGATAAAGGAGTAGTGTGTATCTCCCTTGAATTGATGACCTAATGAAATGAAATTTCCCTTATTTATCCTCCAAAACAGAGAAAAAAGTCAAGGCATCACTTTAATTAACAAATAATCACAAGAAATGGAAATAAACATGAAATTGAACCAATTAAAGTATTTAAATGAAAGTAAACAACCCATATTCAAGCAATTTAAAACAAGCAAGAACCCAATTGAAAGGATTAAAGAAGTTTGAGGGGTCAAATCATTATTATTACAAATATTAAGGGTCTAAATTAAAATAAATAAAATTAAGGGCT